TTCTTTATCTTGAGTTTGCTTTTCCCTGCCAGGATCTGTAGACTATAACTGTAGGAAAGATTAAATATTAGTTGTTATTCTGAAAAGAACAAAGAGAAAAAAAACTTTTTGTTTATGGAAATGTTCTATCTATAAATATGAATATGAAGTATAAATAAAGTAGAAGCTCTAACACTGCCCTTTGGTGAACAGTGTCCTTTTCTTATGTATTTTGTGGTCTATATTTACACCAGAGTGTTAAGCTGGAAGGGAGAAAGCAAATAGCAGGCTTGGAGCTCAGTGAGGATGAACCTCCCTCCTTCATGGGTACCTGGGACCCATTCTCACATTATTTTATGCAGGTAACACACACACACACTCATACACACTTACACATGTGAAGTGCCACAATTGCCCATTCTGAAGATCCAAAATATCTTGTGGAAGAGAAGAGGATGGAAATATCTGAGTCTTAACAAAGCCAAGATTTATTTAAGTATCTGTGTTGAAGTCTTTGTAAGCAAGTATTTGGATACATTTAATGCCCTATGCATCTGTCACTGGAAATGTGTAGAGCTGAGTATTGAACTTTACATGTGCAAAAGCTTTGCACAGGGCTTTCTCAACAACTATGTATGCCTGAAGGAAGGGCAATGACTGACTACAGCTGCAGCCAGAGACAGCCTGAGCAATGGACACAGAAGGCCAGAGCACAGTGGCCTAGCCCTGGCTCAGGCTGAATACCTGTGTTACCCCTGGTGACTTTGGATAAATTCAAGGCAAACCCCCTCCCCCCAAACACATGACAGTACCCTGGATGAGAAATAGGGACAATTCACGGAGTTTGTGGATTATGGGTAGCTGGTGAGGAAACTAGCTCCCATCCACAAAGTTGTACTTAATGTTGACCATTTAAAAAAACAACTGATACAAATAAAGGAATCTTTTCATGCTGTACTGGGACTTGTTAACATTTTCATTTAGTTCTTTTAACAACTGATTCCAGAATCCAACTGGAACCTGATTAAAATGGGTAATGCTGGATCGTCAGAGGTCCTGACCACCCTCCAAAGGAAGGTTCCACTATATCTGTGGTGTAATGCTGACCTCCTAGTATCATCAAGACTTTTAGACTTGAAAAGACATCTTGAAAAACTGAAAACTTGAAAAGCTTCACTTCTACATAAGTTTTAAAAATAACTAACATGGGTCCTGAACCATGCTACCAATGGGTAAGAGATTTAACATTTTGATCATCAGTGCTGCAGACATAAGCAACTAAACCAAAGACTCTAGATTTTCCTTTAGAAAAAGAAGTTATATGTATGTAATAGGCTTTCTATCTAGTTCTTCTGTATAATAAGGCTAATTGCTACTGGCTCTTTTTTATGTATATACGCTTCTTGTACTATGGAAGCCTTGTAAAGATTGCTCGGCATTAGATCTTTGCAAGTCTGTATCCAGTCACTTAATGTTAGAAACATAAGTGAATCCATTTTTGTGTGGCTTGAAATAATGTAATGACTGTAAAGCAGGAGCTTGCCACCAGACACCTCTCATAAGGGATAGGCCCTGGAGGCAAGATTTGGAGTGTTTATAGGACAGCTCAGATATGGGTCGAGATCAAGACAGGTTTTGATATGTTAAGGACCTAACCCCAAGGTGGCACTGATAGATTAGTGAACCAGCCCCAAGCTGTGAGCCCTGATAGCACAAAGCTACTGCCCAATGAGATTATATAAAAAGCGGAACTTCGGAAATGATTTCTAGCATTGCATTGCTCTCTTCCCAAGACACGTCTTCTCTAGTCTATGTGTTGCTACCCATTGGCAAAAGGGCTTCAAATGGTCTCTCTGTGTGTCCCTGGCTTTGGTGACCATTGAACTTCAGCACCATTGCTGGACTCACACATGCCACCTATCAGGGATAGCTGCTGACTGGACACTATCAAGGACCTTCTGATCTCCACAAAAGCCATTCAACCAGGACCTGTCATAGCTGAAGGACTTCATTGCAGACATGGGTTGAACTTGCAAGCTTCTGATGCATTCACTGAAGCATTCTCCAGTGGAACCTGCAGTAGCATTTTCTGCCCAACCAACTGTTCCCTGCTTGGGAAGATGTCTGTTTAACTCTTATATTAACATATTATAAGGAATGTTTGCATGAGTAAACTGAGCATGTTTGAAAGTCAGATCTTGTGTGGACATCCTAATTGCTGGGCGCCTCATAGCCCACAGGCCATGCTCTCTGTACTTCATTTTTGAATTAGTGTTATTCTTGTTTTTTCGTAAAGCCTTGTTTTGTTATTATGCTTCTGTAAGGCCTTATAACTTCACAAAAGCTATAAGAGACTCTATAGAAAGTCTCTGAAAAGAGAACCTGTCTTACGGTTTATTGCTGTGAAGAGACACCATGACCACAGCAAGTCTTAGAAAAAAAAAACACATTTCATTGAGGGCTGGCTTACAATTTCAGAGGTTTAGTCCATTATCATCACGGTGTAAAACACGGCAGTGTGCATGTAGACAAGGTGCTGAAAATGCAGGTGAGCGTCTTCATCTTAAGTCTGCAACTGTGAAACACTGGCCAGACTTGAGTTTGTAGGACCTCAAACCTGTCCCCAGTGACAAACTTCCTCTGCCAAGGACATACTTACTCCAACAAAGCCACACCTCCTAATAGGGCCACTCCCTAATAGTGCCAAGCAGTCACATACAAGAGTCAACTGGGGTGATTTCTATTCAAACCATGACAGAAACTAAACAACATTTTTAGGATACTAAGGCTTTACCCACAGGACCAAAAGAAAGGACCCCAGTTACCCCTAATCTAAGAGGTACTCCTTCTATACCTCTTAGAGCTTCCTTAAAATTGGCCCAGAGGGTTTGCTGGCAATAACCTCTTGATATCTGTTGTTCCTCCCATCCAACACGGGATAAAATCAGGCCAGCCAGGACTAATCTAATCATGGTTACTGTCAGGTCCAAAGGGAACTCCATTTTACCGGACTCTAAAAAGCAAAAGGGATAAATGGCTATCTTCGGTGCCCTTTAGCACATTCTGGCCTCCAGGATCCCTAGATATCACAAGAACCTGTCACACATTTCAGAGTCCATGCTAACATGCTGGCCCTTCTCACCCCCTCCTTTCTCCTAAACTTCCCCAGTCCACAGGCTTCCCTCCCTGCGGCTACCCATTGTTCTTAGAACCCTGATAGCTTTGATATGCTCACTCTCTGCCTTCCTCTCTCAGTCACTCTCTCTTTGTCCCTCTCTGTCTCCCACCTCCTCATCTCTGCTCTCCTGTGCTCTCCTTCCCTCTCTGTTCCTCTCTCACTCTCTGCTCTGTTCCCACCTCTGTCATGCCCAGGTCCAGTCTGCTGGCCATGTTCAGTTTACTTTCTCCCTGCTCTGGTTGCTTCCAGATGCCTCTGGCTGTTCTCTCTTTCATAGCTACAATACCCCCCACCCCCACACACACACCTATATCATAGAGTGGTCATGTTGTCAGTCAGTTTATACAGTTGCCAGGGACAGTGGAAAACAAACCATCAGATGCTTAATCTTGTCTTCAGAGAACATTGTGCAGAGACAAGGGGAAAAGTTGTCAGGATTGAAATGGAGTCACACACTGGGCAGAATAGTGGCTACTTGCAATCTCATGACCTGGGAGGCTGATGCTGGAGGAACAGAAGTTTGAGGCCAGCCTGCATTTCATAGTATCAAGACTCTTTTCAGGCCAACAGAATGGATTTGTTTATTCTAGCCATCTGAAAGAAACTACAACCAAGAGGTATACAGAAATGGTACTTAGCAGGCAGTCTGACACCACCTGAGTATATTCTAACCTTGGGTCTTACTTTTATGTTCCCTTTGTAATTTTGTTTTCAGTCACAGGCCTATCTCACCTCAACCTTGAGGTGTTAAAGCAAACAGTGTGTGTGTGGGGGGGGGGGTGGGGTTAGGGACCTATCTGCCAGGAACAAACCTTCTAAGGAGACACTTGTGTTCTCCTCTTTGGCTACCAGACTGTTGAAAGAAAGAATTCAGCAATTACCGACCGCCCCACCCCCCACCCCCCACCCCCAATCTCCTTCAGGGAGAGGAAATGGCTGAAGCCCTGGGGGCATCCAGAACAGGAATTTGTCTCCTGGAAAAAGATTTACAGCTTGTGCAATGACCTTGACCTTGTGTCAGACTGACTTGTGGGAGAGACTAGGAGTTGGGACATTGTTGGGCAGGGGACTACACTTTGCCTTGTCTCTTTAGTTAGGTGTGTCCCTTCCTTTCTGTTTACACCCTATCTCGTGTCAGGCCCTTAGTAGACAGACTAGGGCCACACTGAACAAATCTCCTTTTTCAGCTCTTCACGGTTAACTTGGCTTCCTTTATTGGCAGGAGGCTGAGTAGGACTTGTTGGGCACCCAGGCTGTGACTCTTAAGTCTGGTAAAGATGTGCCTGGGCAGTTGTTGCTTGTACCTAACTGTACTGATGTATCATACATCTGTGTCATCAGAGCCTGGGCTGGCCCTTTTGCCTCTGAATTCCCAGCATCCATCTGAGTGCTCAGGTGATGAGAGATTCTCAGGTACACACTGTCTCCACTGTGAAAAGAAGCAGTTTCCTCCACTGTGAGGTGGGTTCAGTGTTGTATCCAGGACCCTTGGCAGATCTGAAGTGGCTGAAGGTACCCTGCTTTCGAAGAAAGCCCACCTCACTGTTCTGGCTGACATCGTCGGATTTCAATCTTCAGGCACTAATGATCCTATCTCAATTTAGGCTCCAACTCAGCCCTAACTAAACAAACAAGAGACTGTAGTGACAGAAGCAGTCAGAAGCCTGTCCCAGCAGTGCCTGCAGCCAGGAAAAGCTCCCAACCCCCACCTAAGGCAAATTGCTGCTGAGCTCCAGCCCACAATGCTCTCCCAGGCTCCTGATTGGTCCTCGGAGCCACCGAGCTGTGAGAGAGCTTGTATATATTCCTCCAAGAGAAAGACTGCTCTAGACAGTGTTGACATTTCCACAGACAAACGTGTTCAGCTGTTGAGAGGTTCGTGCTCAAGTTGAGGACCTAAGCCGCGTGCCAAAATGTGTAAGGGACTGGCAGCTCTGCCGCACTCATGCCTGGAAAGGTGAGAACTGAACTTTTTCAGGGTAGGAAATGAAGATGTGGTGAGTCTTTACTCAAGCGAGGATACCAGAGGCACAGTGGGACGGGGTCTCACTGAGATGAAACAGATGCTTGGTGATAGACTTGGCGTTGTCTTATCTGTAGTAATACAGAGTTTTGGAAAGATCTGAGCTAGAGATTCAACAGGAGATAATCCATATGTCATTTAATATACAGAGTGTCAGAGTGCTGTTTCCTCCCAGGGGATGCCTATCAGGTGTGTGTGCGCGCTCGTGCGCGTGTGTTAAAAAGATAACGTCCAACACAGAAGAATAAAAGCATCTGGGTTTGAACTCGGTCTCCCCTACTTATTTCTTTAACCTCTCACTTTCCACATCTGTAAAGTGGAAGTAGGAACACGTCTATCTCACAGACTAGTTTTGAGGACTGAGTGAGTGCTCGTGTGTGAAGTGCTCAGAAGAATGTCTGACCCAGTCCAACTGTGGGAAGAGTGACCTTCATTCACACAGAGAGATTGGGGGGGGGGGTGAGGGCTCTGCAGGCAGCTTCCTTACTAGAAACTTACAACCCAACCTCAGTGTGATCTGTGTAAGTAGAAAGGTTCTGCACTGTCAGGGAATGGTCCTCATTGGATTTACTTTGACCCTCAATCATTTAAAGGAGTAAAACTGATTCTTGCGAAGCCTCCCTCTGTCCCTAAGGGCCAATGTCTGTCTGAGAAGGTCATACTGTTTAGTGGGTCATCAAAGACTTTTGCCTATTTAAAGTGTCACATTTTCTTTGATGATTCTCATCATAGCAACAAATTTTAAGTGATTTTTTTTAAAAAGAGAAAACAATGGAACATATTCCCTGGAGTCAAAGGTGTAAAAGTTTTAAATAGATGAAGGTAGAAGAAATCAGAAGCAGTGACGTCTGTAGTCATATCTATTGGACCAGGGGGAGAGAAGTGGATTCCAGGGCTGGGAACTGTTCATCATTCCCACACCCCATCTCCTCTCACCTCCTCTAGAGCTCCAGATAGATGGAGTGTTTAGAGCTGCGTGGCATCCCAACTTCTCTGAAGACCAGATGATACATCTTTGCTTTCTCTCCAACTGTGAGAGTCACAGGTTGACAGTGCACAGCATGGATGGATGACTACCTTTAGCCCACTTGGTATTCACAGTTGAACGTCTTAATGCAGTGGATGGATCTTAGGTCATCACGCTGGTGAACAGTTGACACTATTACGTGATAGTCTGCAAGGGTTTGGGCACCTTGATGTTGTTACTCCTCTTGCCCTAAGTTTTTATGTAAATAATACAGTATTTAGAGAGCTACAATGATAGCATTGTTGCGATTATTTCTATTACTGCCATGTATTAGATTCATTATCAACAGCAGAATTCATTTGTATTTACATTTATCATTTATTTGCTAAAGCTGGGACTTTCCAGTTGGGGACGGGTGTTATTCTTGCTGGAAACGCATGCATTTGAAACCCATGGCAGCTGATAAGCTAGTGATATACGTGAACACATCGTGGGATTCATAATGTTAAGAACACTAGTAATGTACTAGAAACTAGTGACGTAGACACGAGGCCACTGAGAAACTGTGGGTTCCTCCTAATGAAACCATTTCAGTTATTTCAAGCCTGTGTATGTCTCCTAGGCTTCTGGATGACAAGCCACACCATGCTCACCTGACAATGTCCCCCAGGAAGGAAGCTAAATGAGGGTACATATCACTGAGTGCTGTGGACCGGCATAGAGGAGTAAACATAGAATGCTTACTAGAAGTACAAGGCTGGGGACTGGATGGGCCTCAGAGCTTTTGATAGTTGGGGAGGACTTCACACGGGGTTAAGGAAAAGATGCTTAAACCACTCTTACAGGGCAGAAGAGTCAGGCATGTCTGTATAGGAGAAAGAGATTTGAGAGATGCCTTCAAGGCCAAGGGGGAAGGCTGCGTGTACAAGCAAGAATGTAAGAGGGTACAGAAAGTTTGGCCAGTGTTAATGCAACCTGTACCAAGACTCAGGCAACATATATATTTGTTGTGTGTCCACTGTGAGGACATACATCACTGACTCTCAAGGTCCTGCCTCTGAAAGAGTCTACCTCCTCCAATTAGCACCTCCTGCAGAGCAAGCATTTTGTGTGGCACTTTGGGGAGGTATACAAAATACAAATCATAACGGCTTAGTAAGTGGTTCTCCTGGGACCCCTCCCCTCACTGCCTGGTATCTTCCTTTCACATTACACAGTCTGTAATGCAATCCTTAGGAACATAGTTATCAAGGAGGGACACCTCCAAGCTTTCAGCCATACTTGATGCAGCCTCAGAGGCAGCACACCTCACTCATTAGTCCACGGTTTGGATTTGTTTTGTCCCCAAGGATGTGCATGGTAGAGACCATCTAATAGTGCCATAGAATATTTAAGAGCTCTTGTTGGGGCAGGTGGCTTTTCATCACAATAACAACATGTGAGAAAATCGATTTACTGAGAGAAATGATCTACTTTAGCTCAGGTCTTTGGAAGTTCTAATCCATCATCAACTGGCTACACTGATTTTGATGTTAGACCTGTTTACAAGAAAGAGTGTGTGGCAGGACAAAGCGCCTCAACCCATTCCCATGTAGTGAAGAAAAGGATGGAAGGGTGGCGGTCTCACACCCCACTGTAAGGACACACCACCATTGGCTCTCTAGGTTCTTCCTCTTAATGATTGCCACCACCTCCCATTAGCACCTCCTACAGACCTGGCATTTTGTATGGAGTTTTGGATCTATGGGGAGAGATATGCAAAACACAAACTGTAACAGAACTTAGGTAGGTGGTTCTTTTGGGACTTCTCCCTTCACTGCTTGGTGTCTTCCTTTCACACATCTGTAATGTGATCCTCACCAGGTCCGAGCTGATACAAGGCTCATGCTCCAAAACCTGCAGATCCTACAGAACTGAAAGTCTCACTTATTTGGCTACAGTATCAGAGAACAGATAAACAATGCCTCACCCAAAGCCTGACTCTGCAAACTAGAGATATTTGCATGGAACAAGATTTTTTTCCCTCTTTGCCTGAATTTTAGAAAGACAATCAGCATTTGGTACACAGTAGGCTCATGGTAAATATGTTCCTGAAAAAAGTTCTTTCTTTACTAATTGATAGCAGCTGGAGACAGGGCTGCCCAGTGTCAGCCTGGCACTTTTTTCTGCTTTCCGGAGGTGGAGGTGGGGGATTGGAAGAACAAACATCAGCAGGAACACGTTAGGTCACAATGGGAAAAAAAGATCAAGTTTCTAAATAATGAGGTATTGAGGATTTCCTGCAGGGGTGGGGGAGGGGGGCAGAGGAAGAACATGAAAGGAAACCAGCATTTCTATAACCTAGGCAGGGAAGGTTTGGTCAGCAGGAGGGTGGTTTGTTAAGGAGGCTGGTAAGCCTTTGGCTTTTGGGCTTTAAGGAACTTCACAGCCCAGAGTGTTTCTCTGGGAGCCACCATTACAGTTGCTTTTGTGGCTTCCTATATTCCTATATTATTCCTATATTCCTATATTATTCCTATATTCCTATGTTTCTATGTTCCTATATTCCTATATTTCTATATTCCTATATTCACTGATCACTTCTCCTAGCTCTGGGCTTAGGCTGGTTTATGCTGTCAGATCTCAGAAGCTTAGTCAGGAAGGGTTCTTGGATGGTTATCTAGTAAGAACTACAGATTAAAGTGGATAGATGGTAATAAAATGAAGTTTATTTACATTTCTTGGGCCAATGTCAATGGCTTTTCTTGCTGGCTGGAGAGAAAAGGAGTGAAACTTTAATTAATCCAGGCAGGATCAATCATTAGCAACAGGAAGCAGGATGTGAATGGAGGCCAGCCAGTAGTGGGTTTTTCTCTCTTTTTCCTTTCAAGTTTCAATCAGTTCCCAGATAACATGTGGTCTGTGGACCACATTTTAAACGTCAAGCCCAGTTGCAAGACAGCTATAGCCTGACCCTCTGACTGCCCCAGAAAGTGACTTGGGGGACACACTGGCAGGGGTATGTGTTTAGACACACTTAGCACCATGAAGGAGGAGGATGCTGTGGGGCAGGAAGGGTAGCTCTCCAGTCTCCCATCCCTGCATCTGCTTCAGTCCTGGAAGTTACAGGGATGCAGAAGTAGCAGAGAACACACAGTCTTCCTCTTGCTTCCTCTCTGGGAGCCAAGGAAGCCCTGGCTCTCTCTGAGCCTCATTTCTTCATCTTAAAATAAGTTGGGGATCTTGTTGGAAAGAAATGCCACAAGAAAACACACACACACACACACACACACACACACACACACAACAAAACCTATGAGGTGACAAGAATCATGGGTAGACCCTACCAAGTAATTCCTTGCCACCCTCCCCCTCCTCCGTATTCTAGGCAGCCCTGAAAACACTCTGTTCTGTGTCAAAGCCTTTATAAAACATTTTTTTTTCATTCATGATCATTCACCTTCCTGAAGCATTCTTCGTGCTTCTCCTTTTTTAGAAATTACATTGTGCACTTCGTATAAAACATTAGAAAACTCATTAAAACCCGCAATTCTTATCCAGAAATTAAAAACAGTGCTTTTTGACACTTAGAACCATTCTGTAAACATTCAAACACCTAGTGACAGTTTTGCAGTTGGGCTGTCTGAATTGATCCAAAACTTGACACACCTGAGACCAGAACTCTTAGATCTCATCCCCTCCCACCACTTAACACACGATTTGCAGGTAAAATTTAGGAAGCTATGCTATGCTCTAGGAAGTTTTTAGATGGGGAGCCGAGTCCTGAACTATAGTTTTGGCTTTTAATAGGCAATGGTCAGTTCTGAACCCTATCTCTAAGAATTTCTATCTTACTTACAAACAGATATGATCATACATGGTCCCCCACACTCCTTCTAGCCATTCCACATTGCTATTCTGAATTTGGACTTTATATATTACTATTTTTTTCATTTCAATTTTTTTCTGCATCTAAATCCAGTCACAT